CTGAACAGCCAAAGTTCTTCATGAAATAGGACCTGGTGTCCACTTTACGGACTTTACATATTGTTCAAAGTCTGGATTGTGCTTGTCGGAAAATAGTTCTCTTAACCTGTATTATTGTATTGCACTTCTGTTAAGGAATCGAGTAGCAACGTCTGTGACCTAGTGTGTTCGAAGCTTGATCCCCACAGGAGTTAGACTCTTAAATTCAAGAGTAGTCAAACAATTGTTTATCCCTTTGTGTAAAATGAATGTGTTCTGTGGGGTGTACTGTTGTCAAGTCAAGCCTGCTCGAAATTTGGAGTTCCATAATAATACATTTTGTACGGTATTAATCTTAAAAAAACGTGTGCGCATTTTTAAAAAAATGGTATTAGCCGAAACTGATTTTTACTGTTCATCAAAACAGTAGCACCCGTGTGGATATAAACTAAGAGCAAATTCTGCCAGCTTAGAACGATTCAACAGAACTCAGGTTTTATATCAGGCTACGTCCGGCAACTCTTACTGAGATTAAGAAAAGAGGGAAGCGAAACAATTGGGTCATACTGTACCTTGTTCCCCTCAACGGTTGCCATTTCGCCAGGTCTCATTTCCGCATGACCAAGAAACCTTAAGGCGAAATGCTTTGTTCCGTATTATTGTTTAGCTTTGTATCCCTCTGATGTTTGTTTACAGGTGCCTGGGGTGTACTGGTAGGGCTCTCAGGGGGTGGACTTAGAGAATTAGAGTTTGAGTCTCACGGCGCGGAAATCAAATGTATTATTAAAAGCACCACCGTCTTTCTGCTGGGTTTTATAACTCGAGCGAAAGAATCCACCTCCTTCAAAGAGCAATTTCACGCATCTTAGAATGTGATGTTGAAGTCAGTAAAAGCTTTTCCCAAAGCAATACTCGTTTCTTTTTTTTACTGTCGCTTTTCATAGAGATTCGATTAGTCAAATCAACTGGTGACAGTAGATTATGTGAAAGGGTAGTCTGGGTTGGTCTGACATTTTCAGTTTAAAAACGTTTCCTATCTGAGTAATCGCTGCCGAGAATAAACACTGTTACATCTGTCAGCGGATGATAAAACGGTATTCGGAATAAAGTTTCGTTATCGTTTAGCCTCGTAACTGTCCTGCTGACGTTTACTACTCTCTTGTGTTCTCCCAAACTGGTTCACTGACATGTTTCTGTTATTTTGTTGGAGATATTTTAGACGGTATATTTGAAACTTGCGTTGTTGTTTATCCTTAATAAGGGGGAAACCATCTCATTGCTTTGTTTAAATCTCCCGTGAATAAACGTTTCATATTATCTGTTGGAACGCAAAAAGCACGTTTGAGCAATGAAGGGTTCAGTTGTAAAATAATTTGATATAATAATAATAATGAGGAGGCTCTCGTGGCCTAGAGGTTAAGGTTTTCGCCTCTCATTCAATAGGTCACGGGTTCGATGAGGACGGAAATTTTTCTTCTCTAAATTATCTCCTTTAACCTCCTTTCCTGCTCTCTAGCAATGTTCTATCGTCTGCTTTCGTCTTCGCTGTCTGCCCGCCCTCCTCACCTCCTTTGCCCCCTCCGCTGAGCTTCTGACTCTTTCTGCAGCCTTTTTACTGCTACTCTTTGGCTCCTTCTTACTGCTGTCTTTCAGCCACACCCCTGATCTTATGGTAAGAAAGATCTAAACTTAGCCTTCTCGGACAAGGGCGAACAAACTTGGAAGTCCCGTGTGCAAGTTGCGCACATTAAAGATCCCAATGTGGTCCAAAATCGACAAGAGTACGCTTCAGCCACCACCGGGGAAAAAAAATCGAAATTTCCTACCAACTGAAAAATTTTAATGTGTTTTGCGCGCTCATATGACCTTATACAGTCGTGAGCGTCATAAAACACTTACCCCCCCCCCCTTTAATGAACTCTTGCTTCCAAGGCGGGCTCACAAAACATTTAACCCTCGAAAATACACTCTGTGAACATCATATTTATCAAATTTGTTAAGATTGTACATTCCAACTAGCAGTTTAAGGTCATCAGCGGACAAAAAGAAATTTATTTTACCATCTATGAAACTTAAAACAATGGGTGAAAGGGCATTTGAATACCAAGGCCCCAAGATCTGGAATGCTCTACCAAGTACTTTAAGAGATATCAAATCTTTTGATTCATTCAAATGTCAGCTGAAGTCGTTTATGTTTTTAAATTAATAAGATGAATATTGGAGTTACTTTCTTTAGTCATAACACAAAATTTTATGTCACTGTTATACGTTGTACTGTATTGTAAAGCGCTCAGAGTCTGTGTACTTTAATCGGGGTTGAGCGCTATATAAATGTCATTTATTATTATTTTTTGCCGTTTTGAGTTACTAAGACCATGAAGTCAGAAACCAATAAATGTTCTATCTGCTCAATCCAAATCGTGAGATTATTCGAAGGGGTTATCAAGATAAAGAAAGCATACATGTTGTGAAACACATCTTTGACTCAAATTTATCAAAACTAGGATCTGAACAGATAGCGTGGTAATTCTTGGGTAGCGACAGGCAGATGATGAACTAGCGATAATAAAAAAGATAAAAAATTGACCAATAATTTGTGCGTTCTGTTTTTAAAGTAATTGCAAATTCTTGCAGGTAAAAAGATTTGTTGCCTGTACTTGAACTAACGGAAATTGAAAATTAAATTTGACACCTTTGTTGAAGAAACGAACTTTGTCGTTATTGTGATAAAGTAGATATTTTATGATTCTTTGTTGTGCTGTTCTTTGTACGTCTGTCCTTTTTATCACATCACAAATATCACCGTTATTATATGATTTTTTAAAACTGTATTAATGAATCCCATACGAAGCCAACGATTTACTTCAACAGCTGTATTCATTTCGAGGCATGCTTCTTTAATGTTTTAATGATCTCATTTTGGTAAAAAAAAAGAAATCTTTAGGGGGTGGGGGTGGGGGGGTTTCCAATGGACATAATATTATTCTCTTCTTTACAAAGAGTATTTATGCCGACGAACTACTGATCACTATGCAGTAGTTTTGTTAATTACTTACAGTGGTTTGAAATTACTTCGAAATAAATTTACCTTAAGCGCAGTAAACACAAATGAAAGTGATTCTTGGAGAAATCGTAAAAATATTTCAATGTCATATTTTTATTTTGTGTTAAGGTCATCTGCATTAAATCTAACACTATTAGAAATTATGGATTTTCCAGCCAAATATGGATCTTGCTGAGTGCGTTTTGTGGTATGGGGTTTATTTGCATTCATCGTTATTCAGTGTGACGGCTGTTTTAGTGCCAAGCAATAATTTCCTCTCAATCTGATTATCATCCCTTCATTTATCCTGTCCTGGCTCTCTTGCTCGCTTCTCCATTAATGCTTGACAGTATAATGCTGTACTATGGTGCTGGTGGTTTTGGTAGGAAATTTTGAAGTTTTGTAGCTCCCCTCCCCCTTCTCTCTCTCTCTCTCTCTCTCTCTCTCTCTCTCTCTCTCTCTCTCTCTCTCTCTCTCTCTCTCTCTCTTCCCTTTCTCTCCTTCCAATTTTCTCACCGTGTTTTGATGACAATGAACCCCGATCATGCTTCGTGTGACAATGTTAGCCTCAAAGATTGTGTAGACAAAGTGGATGTCATCAGAACCGGGAAGTTTCTGTCTCAGGGTTCAGATCGCGTCCACTCCTGAAGGGAAGAATTATTAAAATGTATTGTTTCAATAATAATAATATGCCTGAGAAAGTAATGTATATCGGTTTTATTTTACTTACTGCTGTCTTTATTTGTTGTTGCTGCTGCTGTTGGTGTTGTTGTTGTTTTTGTTGGTGTTGTTGTTGTTGTTGTTGTTGTTGTTGTTATTGTTGTTGTTGCTGTTGTTGTTGTTTTTGTTATTGCTGTTGCTGTTGTTGTTGTTGTTGTTGTTGTTGTTGTTGTTGTTGTTGTTTTGGAGGGGGGGTGTTCTTAGGGTTCCGCATTCGACTTGGATTTGTGAGTTTTATAGAAATTAGA